CCAAGTGTTTCGCATCTATATTTGAAGATTGTAGGATTTTGCAGATTGAAGGCATTTTCACATGCTTTTGAGCTCAAAATGTTAACGTGTCAATCCCCTGTCCGTGCTATTTTCCTCGGGCAATTGTGCAATCTGTTCTTGAAAAAAGGCTACGTCTGCCAAACCCTGGTTGCAACTCCACCTTCAGGACCTTCCAAAGCGCATCGTCTCCACGCACAACCGCCTCAAACAAGCTGCGTCGCTTGAACTTCCTGGGGCCTCCGGCTGTCGGTTTTGACACAAGAACTCCCGCACCTTGGAAGGAGACTTGGGAGGTCAAAGGGCTCAATTCATCTCGATCGAAGCACCTGCAGCGCATTTTGAGCCTCTTTGGCCAAAGGCCAAAGGCCCCGCATTCGAAGTCGCATTGGACCGTCAAACTGCTCAGGTTCGGCTCGCCGCAGACTGCACATGTCCTCCCCCCATTTTGGCCCAGGTGAAAGTCGGAGCAAAAGCATCGAGAGAATCATCCGGGCCTGATGGACGTGGGAACGATTGGGGATTCATGTTCTACCAGTCAACTCCCGGGAGTTCCCAAAGTGAGACTCATGTCGTTGTTGAAGCATGAGCTGGGGATGAAGTGCCCAAGTCTTTGAGATCGACATTTGGAAGGAATGAAGTCGGGATCTACGGTACAACGAGACACGCGGTCTTTTCTTCACCCCAAAAGCATGGAGACCACCACATTACGTTCTATATACTCTTTCCCCAACCTGTCCGGACTGTGGGATATGAGAGCTTTTTCATTAATCACTTGAGCCTAGGGGGCTATGCTTGTGTGAATTAAGGGCCGAATGCTGCTTGAAGCTTTGCAAGCTCACCATCTCTGCCATCTCTGCAAGTGAATTGCGCACAGTAGCCTCAAGGTGCAGAACCACTCTTCTGGTCTCCTCATCAAGGACAATGATGCAATGACCTATAACTTTGCACCCATGAAATTCTGCACTGATGCATCCAAGAATTACATGCAATTTCTATCTGCCTCACCTTGGGGGCCAAAGCTTGACTAGCCATGCTCAAGATATCTGAGGCCACCGATGAAAGCCATGAGGCAACTGTGCGCGGGAAAGCCGCCGTTGAACGGGCGCACGAGCACAGCGCTTCACACAGAGGAGCCCGTCGCAGCTTCAAAATTTGGATCTTTTCTTCAATTCTGGCCAGCACCAGTCTCACTGCGAGGCTCACATGGTAGGTAGACATCAAATCCCTTACATATGCCAAACAAGAAACCTCTCATATGTCATAGGGGATCCCCAAAATGAATGACTTCACAATTGAGCTACAGTCAAATCCACCACTGGACGGTGGATGGCTGAATCAACATGGATCTGTGAATCTCAAGCGACCAGTGCAGGCCTGTCCTTGAAAACCACTCTGTGCTGGGGTCCTGACCCCTACCATCCACAACTGAAGGAGGACAAACAGCTGTGGGGTTCCCTCAAGTAAGATTGAAACAAACAACTCAAAACCATTCAAGACCTTTTCTTTCACATCTTCGACTAGTGACTAGGAAACTAAAATACCAAGATACTCATCCTACTTCTATACCTATGCCTATGTTGTACAAGTATCGTACATCTTTCTCACTCCGGAGCAGTCCCTCTCGCCACATCCGCACCGCATTGGCCGATCAGAGGTCACAGCAAGACAGCCTTCGTCACTGTGCCATTGGCGCAGAAACTGTCATAAACTGTTTCATGCTACAGTTTCTGAGTCTATGGTCTGAGGAAACGACTCCAAGGCTGCAACATAAGAGCTCCCAGAATTCCCGAAATGCCCACACATGGTCAACCACCCCAAATGTCATAGGCACCCTGCCCATCTAAATGACAGGGCGGTTTGGTCTTGGAAAAGAGCTCTGTAGGGTGCTTTTAGCCCGTTGTAAAGCAATGATCAACTTGATCAACCTCATGAACATACTGATTCAAGAAAATGTGCAGAACCCCAACGTGCAGCACTGAAAACCCTCTCGACAAGCTGCTGCAAACTTCAGCCCTTCAACAGCAGTGGAAGATGAAATTCTTTTACATAACCACGGCCAAACGCTACGATAAATATTGAATAACACCGATTGCATTGCTAAACCCACGCGTGGAATCCGATCCATGCGCCCAGCACACACCGACTCGCCTGATGCCGGCGGAGCTCGGGCAGCAGGCGCCCTGCGTGAGGTTCAGGTGAACGCAGGCCGCGAAACTGCTGCATGCGGTCCCTGGCCAGGTAAGGCCATCGCTCTTAGGTTGGAGGCCATCGCTCTTAGGTTGGAGGTCATCGCTCTTAGGTTGGAGGCCATCGCTCTTAGGTTGGAGGCCATCGCTCTTAGGTTGAAGGCCATCGCTCTTAGGTTGGGGGCCATCGCTCTTAGGTTGGAGGCCATTGCTACTTTGGTTGGAGGCCATTGCTACTTAGGTTGGAGGCCATTGCTACTTAGGTTGGAGGCAATTGCTACTTAGGTTGGAGGCCATCGCGCTCTTAGGTTGGAGGCCATCCCTACCTAGGTTGGAGGCCATTGCTACTTAGGTTGGAGGCCATTGCTACTTAGGTTG